AATAATCCATCTAATCACAGTCAATTCAGCTGCTGGTTGCTTATGGGCATCCTTTACACATTAATTTAAAGACTGAATAAGCAAGATCAGAGCAGCTATTTAACAAAAGCATGCTCATAAAGCTCCTCTAAGCACCCAACACTCATTTTCAGAGGCTTGTGATCTGGGAGCATGCTTTTAAAACAAGTTTACCAGCTTTAACCTTTCTGCCTGTCATCAGAAACCCTCACAAGTCAGGAGAATTTTATTTCATTTCTTACAAATTATACACATTTCTGAACACTAATTTGGGCATCGAGAAAAAGGACATGTATACACAAACAACACAGTGGGGTTTTTTCTTTGTGGTTTGACTTTTTTTTTTTAATAAAGCACATGTTTTGTCCACTCTCCAGTCTCAACCTGCCTTATTTTCAGTCAAAATTACCCCAGTGAGGTGATGGGTAACACAGAAGGTCTAGGGGGCACCATCAGTCTTTCATTAAGAAATATTTCTTGTTTAAATACATTTGAGCAGGAAAACCACACATATTAAGTGGCTGAGGTTTGGCCCATAATGAGTGCCCACTTTGTCAGCTGCTTTTGAGTGCCACACAGGCCACCATCACAGGACAATTCATGACCCACTCAAACAGGTCACCACTGCAAATCCCCACTGTGTAAACCTGCTGATTTGTGTGCCTTACATTGTCACAACAGGGGAAGAAAAAGCAGTGCATGATTTTGTGGCTTTAAGGGTGGATGTGCAAGAACTAGGGTCCAATTCCCCCAAACTGGGTGGACATTCCCATGTGAAACAAGCACTCCTGTATGGTGTCAGGAGGAGCTATTGTTAAGCACAGTTACTAAACATTACTCCAGATTTATGCCCAAACTTTTGCCACGGCAAAGCTACTGAGAAGAGCAGTTGATTTACCCCACAAGACAACAAAACTGCAGTTTGGCTCCAGGAGAAGGCACACTCATTTCTTCAACTCTAAAGATAATAGAAATCAAACATCAGAGGTCCTTTCTTCCTTTCCAAGAGGAATATCAACAACACATCAGAAGTGGGCTCTGTGAACACTTGAGTGGATCTAGAGCCTGAGAAACACCACCCACTGGGAAAGAAATCCCAGCATGTGAGAGGAAAGAACAATTCTCCCCAAGTTTTTCCTGGATTTTTGCTTTAGAGGCTGAGACAATGAGGGCAGACAAAAATTACAAGAATGAAACCAGATACAGTGCAAAAACTGAGAGGAAGTGTAAGGGACCACAAATGCCTCTGCAGCTCTTCTGCAGAGTGCCCTAACAATCCCAGCAAAATGTCACTCAAGAATCAGGCCTTTTTGTGACAAAACTGTTCTGATCAGTCAACTGTTTCCCTACTGACCACAACACCATCACAGCAGGTGGCTCAGGAAAGCAGAGATCACTGGAAGCCATGGGGTTAAATCATTGATGGAAGCAGGGTAGGGTGTTTACTGGAACATTTGTCATGAGAGGTTGGTATGCATCAGAAGATCACTTTCTCAGCTCCAACATCACATGCAGAACCTAAACTTCAAAATTTCAATTGGAAGTTGCAGTTGTATGCATGGCTTTCCCCTTCTAACTGGAAAAGAGATACTAGAAAAACTCCTAGATCTTCATAGAATGTTATCTTCTTTTGAAAGCACTTTTTTACACATGACTAGGAATGTGTTAAATTCTTGATTATACTTCTAGTTAATAAAAATTTGGCTTGTCACTGTAGCATCCAAACTGTTGGTTTATGGAGCAGGAAAGTTTCTGGGCAATGAACTTTGCTGGTACTGGCTACAAAAATATAGAGTCTAGTTATAACACATTAAAATTTATCACCTTTTGATCAGTAGAGATACCATTATTACATCATTGCTATGCTATATTGCAACTGGGTTTCTCAATGATGCTTATTAATCACCACAAGCTTCATAATATTCCAGTTACTATTACTGTAACAGAGGTAAACAGAGATTGAGAAACCAAGTATCTTGCCCTCAGATCCTTTAAATAGTCTGTGGCAGATTCAAAGTGTTCTTTATAGCAAAGAAAAGGAAGGCAGTTTAATAGCTAAGCACCAGATTGATACTTGAGAGATCTGAAGTCACTTCTTTCCCATACACCTTTTGTTTTATGTCTGGCATGCTTCCACATATCTTCAGGTTCATCCTTAGTACAAGTGGGTGAAACTAATTAAACAGGAGTTAGATAAATATAGAAAGCGTCAAGAAGACCCAGCCACACACAGCCAAGCCAGTACTGTTTGTGCAGTAATGTTGTTTTTCATATATAAGAAGGGAAAAAAATTCCTCTTTTAATTGCCGACTGCTTAGTCCTAGACAATAGGAGCTAAAGCACAGGTAAATCCAAGGAGATTACACACCACCCCCAGTGCAGGTACGCAAAGCAGCTTATTCCACCTATCCTTTCAAAGCAGAAAATGACTTCACATCAAGGCTGTGTGGGAGCCCCATGAACATGGGCAAGTTTGTGCTAGTGCACTGCAACTTCACATCATGACTCGCTGCTTGTTCCTCCCATTGCCTTGTGGACTGTCCTACACCCCTCGGTGAGTGTGCAGCTGCTTCTTGGCAGCAGAGGCATTGGGACACACAAGGAAATACACAGAAGGTTCTGCAGGAAGTCTTGAAAATGCTGGTGGGACTCAGCTAACCTCTGCCAGCAGGGAGAAGCTTTAGGATAAATGCTCATTCCCAGGTGCTTCAGCAGCAGGGCCACCACCCCACCTCACCCTAATGGGGGAAAGAATCTACAGAAACAGAAATACGGATCTTATTTAGTCTTATTGAATTAAAGATGTGAAAGCAGAGACATAGCAGAGGGATCTTGGCTTTGACTCCAGAATTCCTTTAGTTCTGTGCTATCAATAGACTTATTCAAAAAACTTGCTAAATAGAGAACACACCTCATGCATGTGGGTTCCCAATGCACTGTTTTGGTTTCAGCCTGTCTTTGACACCTTCCCAGGGCTGCTGCAGCATATATAACACATTAGCTTCAACCTTTTCTTTCAATCAGCTGTCAAATACATACCAGACATTGAAATACCTTTCCTTCTCTACAAGAAAAATTTAAGACTAACAGAAAAGACCCCTGCTTCAGGCTTAGAAAAAAGGTACAGGAAAGATTTGGCTTTTCAGGCTGTCCTGTGTATGTTCTCCTGCAGCTCACCCAGTATTACTGTCTGTTCATCCCAGGGGAATTACATTTGATAGCATATTTAGTTCACAGGACTAGCACAGTTACATTAAACAGAGGCTGCTGATGAAACATTACATCTCCCTCCTCTGGCACTCCATTTTCTGTGATGTAAAAGGCAGACACCCCGTAGAGAAATTAATCAGAAAGAAGGGGGATGAATCTAAAGAGTCAAAATTAAAGACCCCATGACATCTGCATCCATCTTCTACATCCAGATAAAAGTGTTCCAAAACTCAAGGATGTGTTAAGATCCTTCCAAGAGATGGAAGGGGTTACAGAATTCAGCATATTATCATCAATATAAATTATAGTTATTTAAATTGAAAGAATTCTCTTTGCTCAGCACTGAAGCTCCACAGAGAACACAAGGACTTTTAGAAGAAAGAATATTTGTTCTGCTTTGCAAACTGATGAAAAATACTTCAAGTTAAAAGACAGCTCATATAGAAGCAGTATCGGTCTAACTTCAGTAAAACCACACTGCTTTACCTTCAATAAGGATACAGTCTAAGTATCTACATTTCTGCCATAATGGGAAATCTCAGGAAGTGTATGTGTTCAAAAAAAAACCCACAAAAAACCATAACTGTGTGTCCTCATATCCCAGTTCTTCTCCCTTTAATCTAATGCTCTCAAAGCTTTTCAACACCAAAACTATTCCAACATAAGGAATACCTAAAACAGTTTTAAGGACATCTTGATTTCCCTTTGTCCCTTAACCAGAAACTCATCTGTCAGAATCCCTACAAAGACATTTGCAGAACCAAATGGTGCTCTACAAGGGAAGGATTCTAGATGTCTCAGCTAACAAATCTGGCTGAAATGGATTAACCTGGATAGAAAGAAGATATCTTGGCTTTAAGCACACATGAACTACCTTAGCCTTTGTAGACTTGAACTACTAGAACAGAGAATGGATTTAACCAGCAAGGAAAATTGCAAGATGTGGACAAAAGTGAATGGATTATGCAGCTTCTTTTAAACCACTATGCAGGTGTGCAGGTTTTGTTTGCAACACCCTAACTAAATGCCAGGGTTTGAATTTATGATTCATGAGCAAAATTATATGCAAGAAGAACCTCATGAACTCTTGCAGACAGTACCATATTTATGAAGCAATGCTCAGATTAGAGCTTCCTCAAAAAGGAATTTAGTAGAGCAGGGTTTGAAATGCTGCTTTCAAATCTGTTAGGCTTTATTCAGGTAGACCTGAGCTTGAAGTGTGGAGCAGGGAGAGAAAGACCCTTAAATTAATCACATCTCTCCACAACACAGGCTACAGAGTAAATACATCATTTTTCCTGTAAAGTTCTATCACTTCAGGTGTTTGCAGATGAATAAAACTGAATCAACTGTGTAAGCCTACTTATTCTACAAAAATCAAAACTTAACTTCATTTTAAATTGAAGATTACTTATTGTAGAGACACATAGCAACCTTAAATCACTTTAAGAGAGACAGTAAAAATGCCTGGAGGAGAAGAATTATAAGTATAAAACTGCTTCTATTCGCAAAACACCAGCATTACTCCAATCTTGGCAGTTTGGGTCAGAGTTCAGAACTGGGCCTTGAAAGATTATTAAACAAGTATTAAAGTAGATCTTGCTGTACTTGCATGTTCTTGCTAAGAAGTCTCATTGCTTCTGCCTCTCAAATGCTGTTTCTTTGCAGGAAGTGGCTGCACACCAGAAGATAGGAAATTGTAAGTTAAGTCAGAGCTGACTTTCAAACCAAGTCACCATTTATTCAGAGTGAAAACACCTTCTTACCTCCTGCTGTTGCAGACTGCTGAGATGAATAGAATATAATGATCTCCTCTTCACAAAGGATGGCAACATCAGACTGAAGGTGGGAAGAATCTTCTCATATATTAATAAATCCAGTTCGTAGCCACACTCCAGTAAAAAAAAAATAAAAAATTGTATCATGGTAGAGACTGCAACCAAATAACAAGACAGATAGTGCTCCATTAGTTGCTATCCATGCAACCCCACTGCCTGACAGTAACAGCTTTGGTACAGTTCTGCCTACTTCACCTTTCTCACTTTATCTCTCCAAATTCTCCTATTTCCTTCACTTTCAAAACAGTTTCCTTGCCTTTCTGCCACTGCATATGCAAAAGAAAGAAAAACTCACTGGCTGCCCAGGCCCTGTGTTTTTCAGAAAAGCCCCTCTGAACCACTCAGCTCATAAGGAGCTCCCTGGTTTAAACATCCCCTGGAATCACAGAATATGCTGAGTGGGCAGGGACCCATCAGTGTCATTGGTTCCACCTCCAGCCCAGTGCCCAAGCAGTCTCTGGTAACAACACCACAGACATTTCATTTAACAGATTTCCCTAGATCATAAAATCATTTGGATTGGGAAAGACCTTTAGGATCATTCAATCCAACCATTACCCAGCATTGCCAAGCCATGTCCTTAAGCACGACATCCACACATCTCTAAATACCTCCAGGGGTGGTTACTCCACCATTTCCCTCAGTAGCCTCTTCCAATGCTTGACAACCCTTTGAAACTGAAATTTTTCTTAATATCCAATCTAAACATTCCCTGGCATAAATTGTGGCAGTTTCATCCTATTGCTTGTTGGCTGGGAGAAGAGGCCACTTTGCTACACCCTCCTTTCAGGCAGTTGTAGAGGGCAGTAAGGTCCTCCCTGAGCCTCCTTTTCTCCAGGCTAAAACACCCCCAGCTGCCTCAGCTGCTCCTCAGTGGTACTCCAGACCCTTGTCCAGCTCCACTGCCCTTCTCTGGACTTTTCCCAGCACCTCAATGTCTTCACTGAAATAAGGGGCCCAGAACTGGACACAGACCTTGGGGTGTGGCCTCACCAGAGCCGAGTACAGGGGGACAATCACCGACCTGGTCCTGTGGCCACACTCTTCCCAATACAGGCCAGGATGCCACTGGCCTTTTTGGCCACTTGCACACGCTGCTGGCTCATGCCACCCAGATTCTTTGCCACTGTGCCACTTTCCAGCCACTCTGACCCCAGCCTGCAGCACTGCAGGGGCTGTTGTGACCCAAAGACAGGAGCTGGCACCTCATACATCGTGCCTTGGGCACAGCAACCTGTTCAGAACCCTCTGCAGAGCCTCCCAGATCAACACTCCCACCCAGCTTGGAGTCATCAACAAACTGACGGAGGATGCCCTCAGTTCCCTCACCCTGAGCATCAATAAGATGTTAAACAGAACTGGATCTCTGCTTATTAATAGATGAGGCACTTGAGAGTACAAATTCCTTTCAGCATCACAATGTGATAGAATTCCAACAACATCACCAAGAGAATAGCAAACCACATGAAAGCACAATGGTCAAGACTGTCCCAGGACTTAATTTTTCAAAGTGATAAAAATACATCTTGGGCTGTGCAACACCTGTGAGACCAAGGTATCCCTTTCACCACTGCAGGGACAGCAATGTGCTCCCTGGCTACATCAAAGAAAATAAGTAGTCAAAAATACTGCTCAAGTAACATCATTTAGTAAAAAAAAATATTTGTGCTACAACTCCCAGGAGTTATGAAACACTCCAGACACATTCTACAAATGTTATAAGGCTGTTTCTGTAAAAGCTAGGAGGGGAAAGGATGGGAACACTTGTAACAAACATTCATGACATATTAAGCCAAGATTATTATCTATTCTTAAATATTCTTTGGAGGATGTTGGTTTATTTACCTTATGAAAGGCTTCCAGGGACTAGATCTTAGTTCAGATCAGCACCACACATGTGAACACTCTGCAAAACATTAACTAAGTGAAACAAAGCAAGCTGGAAGCTTTCATATGTTTCTGACTTTGTATAATGCCAGGTTTTTCTAAGTTAACTCTCACTGGTTTATTCTTGTCATTTCCCTTGATTATTTTCCACTACAGCCTTACAAACCAATAGGAATTATTTTATTGCTATGTTCAGTACTGTGGTTCCTCTCTTTTTATGTTACCATCACAAGGACAGTGGGAGGAGAGCTATTCTCCCTATATGATAAAAAGAAGTTCTGGTGGCATGGGCACTTGCTGAGTTTAAATGCTTTTTGCACTTGGCACATTAAGCCATTCCCTAATACAGCAGGCAAACAATAATTAAGATAAAGACTTAGGTACATGAATAACTTTCACTATGTATTAGACTTCACTCAAGGGTTAATAATCTGCCCAGGGTTCAGGTCTGTGTGAAATGTCAGGATTTATCTGAAGCTATAAGGGGGGGGGGGGCTGTCCTAGCTTTCAACACCAGCAAATAAAACACTATTTTAACAAGATCACAAAGCAGAGCAATGTAATGTTGTTGCTGCCACAATTTTCTGCCTGAATGTGTGCCTATATGTGTAATAAAATTAATCATTTTATCCACATCAACTTTCTTCAGGAATGTGACAATATCCAATTGTAAAAATATCAGTGAATTCCTACCTGAGGCAAGTTGAGGAGAATTCAGATTCGTTAGTGTTGCAGTGATAAGCACCCTTTTCTTAGAAGCACATTTTTGTCCTGTAAATAACATTTCTGTATTGGATTCAGAAACATTTGGGCAGGTCCAGGCAATATTAGACTGGAAGCTGTGGGATGTGGAGTATCTTCCAACAGCCAGAGTGGGGAACAAGGAGCCAAGACATGCTTGTCTTGCTAACTCGTGTGCCTTTGCTTTTCCTCAGTTTACCCTCAATAGCACTTTTCTAATAATAGCTTGCTTTAATATTTGCAAAACATACTGAATGCATGTCAGAAGGCTTGACATACATGAGAAAAGGCTTAACTGAAAACTTCTCCTCAGACTAAATACTTCAGTTCAAATTAGCAATTTGCATTAGAATACTTCACACACACTTCAGGCTAAGTTGTATTCCAAACTAAGATAACTTTTTGCACTATGACGAGAATAAGAGGACTCCAGTAGGAAATACACACATCAGCACTTTCTTCTCTCTTTAAGCATAGTGCAGGCTTTGAAGTAGCAACAAATAAGAACAGGTGTATTTTGTAAACAAATCTCTATATCAACTTTCAAGACTACCCTGAAAAGTGATGAAAATATTCATCTTTGTTATTATAAAGAGTAATATAAATAAACAATTATTCTCTCTCTCTTTTTTTTTTTTTTTGCAACGATATTAGGCTGATCAATTAGGCCTATTGCAGAAAGACTTGAATTAGTCTGATTAGTCTCAGCTACTTAAATTCAGAAGCAGATGCCTCACTTTGCAAGAGTGGTGATTAAAGGCTGCATTCACAAAAAAAATTGGATTACGCACACTTAAGACAATACCTACCATTTTTCAGCTCTCCCCCTCACAGCAGATGGCCCATACAATTACTGACTTCAAAAAATTCTCACTAGAACTCCTCCAAAGCTCCCTTCACTTTTTGAGACAAAGGTATGTGCAAGTCAAGACTTTTTTTTCAAATGTTCTCCTCATGTTAGGATTTATCACGCAGGTCAAGAAAACCATTCACACAGGGCTGTAAGTCAAAACACAGTGCCTGCACATTCCCAGAAGAGTCACCCATATGGCTACTAGCAGCCAGGGAGAGGCAGAATAATAACATAAGAGCCTTGGCAGCAAATAAAATCCACATCTCGCCCTCCTAGCACTCCAGCCAGCACAAGCAAGTGAGAAAGCCAGGACTGAGAGATACAAAATGGCTCATTATCTACCCCAGAAGGCACAGCACTGCCAAGCTGCTCTTTATCAAGTCCTTAACAGGTGTAAAATTAGCACTTGTTATTAAAGACAATGGAGTTACATGTATTGCCAGCAGCTGAAGAAATGTGCTAGAATTGTTTTCACCTCCAGTTAATTCGGTACCATTCAATAATGTGCACGAAGCCTGTAAATTAGAGAAGTGCCTCCTGAAGCATGGCAGGGAGCTAAGACTGTGTGAGCATCCTTTCTAAAACACAGCTGATTTCCTGAATGAAGGAATGAGGACCAAATCCTCTTTTCATCAGTACTGATGTAAATTCAAACATTTGCCTGAGTGTACTCTCAGGTAAACCTGTGCCAGCATAATCTGTAACCAGAATCTGGAGCTGTCAGAAATCCTTGTAAGCAAATGCCAGGACAGTGCTGTTTTCAGCTCTTCTAACCCCACAGAGCACAGAATGACTGGCTGCACTGATATTCTCTCCTCTCAGCTACTTACAATTCATTCCTGGGAATAAAGCAGAGAAAGGTGTTATTTACTGAGAATAGCAAAATCCTATTCCAGATGTATCTCATTATAGGCAGATCTCATTATAGGCAGATGACCTCAGGTTTAGGACAAGAAGTCACTGAATCACTCAGGACTGTGTAGCTTCATTGTGTATTTTTCTGTTCTAATACCATGCTCAGCTCTGAAAGCAAATTATTTAGATAAATACTGCACATAGGAATGCATCTAACTGCTGAGCCCTATTATTCAATAGCACTGTACATCTCACCACTCTCCCCCTTTCTGCAGTAACTGGAAGAAGGGTTGGCCAACATCAAACAAATCTGATCAAGGACAGAAATCTCAGTGATAATTACATTCCCACAGGGTTTCATGAAAACTGGCAGTGAGATAGAGGAGGAAATTAACTCCACCAAGGGGAGGCAAGTCAGGCATCTCACTATCCCTGTGGCAGCAATTGGCCAGGCAGCCAGCACACAATTTGCTCTGCACTAGCCAAGGCACACGTCACCTTTTGTCTGCTGGGACTGTCACTGGGAGCATGTCAGGAGGGGGTTTTAAGTCCATAAGAAACCATGCCACTCATGCTACATCTGCTCCTCCTGCCAGATTCCATGCAGAGCCTGACGTGCAAGCCATGGGACGAAGCTCTCTTGCTCTAATATTAATATTGAGACTTACTGGTGTGTGGGAATGGTGCTGGTCTAGTGCAGAACAATCAGCTCAGAGGGAGTTACTAATAGGCACAGGTTCTCTTCTGCTCTAGTGTTCTGCAGTTTCCCTACTGTCATTTTATGATGCAGTCAGAACATGTCTGAAACACCCAATATAAAAAGCAAACAGTGTTTCTATTCAAAGGCCTCTGGACAAGTTCAGGTTTGGACAAAATGGGTGCCTGTTTGCTAAGGTATGAAACATCTTACCACTGTAAGATGTTCATCATGCATCTCAGAGGAGGCAAAAATCAACATAAAGCAAATAAAAAGAGCAGTTTCTTTTTATACAGAGCAAATCTCCAGCTCTTGGATTGATAGGTGTGGTGAGTCACCAGCACACTGCCAGGGCTGTCAAGTTGTCACTTTAGCTGGCTGCAGTACAAAGCTGAGTCCTTCCACATGGTCACCACTCCCCTCTCTGCGTGCAAATAAAGACCACAGCCTTTTCACTCCTTTTTCCAAATGCACAGGGAAATCTGTTATTTCTTCATCAGTCTCGCATCCCCCTGGGCAATGGGAGTGCTCATCATCTGATGCATGTAAATGCCAACAAAATTCCCATCTTGACATTTAATGGCTTAAAACCTATAAAATGGCAAATGCAGCACAGTAGTGACAAAAACTGGCAGGTTTCAGGGGGCCTACAGGGTTCTGCCATGCTGGCAGGGACATCTGCGTCATTGCTAAACTATCCCCAGGACTTCCCAAAACTGGGAACTAGCAGGAGAACTTGAGTTATGGTCTGGTTGCCACAGATATTTCTGTCAACCAGTGGAGCTGCTCAGTCATGCACTGACCCTCCCCAGCCTACGTGGGTGCACTTCAGAAAGGAAAAGGAGCAGCAGGTTCCTTAGAAGAGTTCGTGCCAGTGCACTGCAGGCTGGCAAAACCCATCACTCATTCACTCTGATAAGATGATAGCACAGCAAAGGCAAGGCTGATGCAACACCTTTGTAAACACAGAGCCATGTGTTGAAGCATTGCCACATTTCAAACCTACCTGCAAACAGCAGAACCACTGCAGCGTGTTTCTGGGGCAGGCTGCAGCTAAATCACCCCCTGCAAAGCACTGGGGGCTCTGTGTAGGCAGCAACACAAGTGGCAGCCACTTGAAATGCATGCCACAACTTGCACTGGTCCTCGAGTGCTGCCAGCAGCCTTGCCCCTCAGTCAGCATCAGCTGGAAAACTATTGAGCAGCTGCATCCATGCAAGGAGCAGAGAGAGGCTTTAGGGAGAGGGAGGCAGGGCCCTAGAGTTTCCAAAGGGTCCCAGAGTTTGCACACAGAGCTGTCAGACTGTTGTGCTCCTTTCCAGCCTGATGTTAACACTGCTAATGGGGAGAGGCCTTGGAGAGCAAGGACTGTAGAGCTGCATGCCTGGTGCACACAGAGCCAAGATTCCCAGCATATACAGACCTACTTACTACATTAATGGATTTTATAGCGCCAGCGATTCAAACAGCACATCCACACTGTGGAGGGGTTAATATAAAAAAAATTCAATCCTATATTTACAATTTACACAAGTGAAAAGGGTTTTTTAGTTGCTATGGTAAGCTAATCAGTGTGTTGTCAGTATATTGGAAAACCTTCCTTACCTAGACCTGGATAGGTTTCCTAGTTCTCATTTTGGAGGAAACATAAGTGAGACATTGTCATTGAAGTTTAATGCTTTAATGCTATTTCAAATCTTGGTTTGTGTTGGGTCACCCCTCTATCAAGGACAACCCCATTAAGACACCTAAGAGTAAACTGCATTTACAACAGGATTATTAGTAAAGAAAAGCAGGAAGAAAAGGGAGAGTTTAGATGCTAAAGAGCAGATCAGAGACCAAGTGAGGCATCCAAAGAGAAAACAGCAAGAATTGACACTCGAACATTTAAAAACTGGGAAAAGGAGAAAACAGGGAAACACTGTGTTTGCAACAGTGTTTTAGGAAATTTCTACATCAAAGCTATACATAAGGGGTTTGCAAATGATTTGGTTGGTATGAGGCTGAGCAGAAATGTGACCCAGGATATAGACAGGGGAGCAGCACACTCCACTCCCTTGTGCTTGCCCAGAATGAACAGCTTTGCAAAGAAGTGCACAACCCATGTACTGGCATTTTCTTCCATTATGGATGTATTTGTATACATCATTACATTTTCCTCCTTCTGTTTCTCTCCCCAAAAGCCGAATCAAAACTCTCCCTTATTTCCTAAGTAAGTAACATTATCTTCACTTAGAAAACTGAGCAGTTTGAAAATGGCAGCCCATTGGAGCCTGTCTGTAGGGTTTCAGCTGCCACAGCTGAATATTTTTCTTTGTATTCAGCAAAGGACATTGGAAGAGACATATTTTTAAGTTCTTTTATGAGCTCAATTTGAAGGCAAACACAGTAGTCCACTTTGTCCTTCCCTCTAGTTCCCTGTCCATTTAGGCTAAAAAATTGTGTTTGTACAGCACTTAGCCCCATGAGACCGAAGCCTTTAGGTACAAATGTAACTCATTTAAATGGTAATATACAACAAAATGAGTGTCACTCCTCAAAACAAGCAGCATTTGTAAGTGTATCTCTGCCAGGTGCTGACAAATGGAGGGTCATGGTTGCAGGCAAAGGGAAAGGTCTCGGTGAGACAATATTTAAAAGTCATTTTTTCCAGTCAAAGGCCAAACTAAAATGTCTGCTTATTTCTCTACTGCCTATGCCCTGAAGCACTGTGCCTGCCTCCCAGAGAGCAGCAGACGAGGACTCCAAAGGTATTTCCTATACAAGGTCAGATCAATTAAAATGTGCTTTAAATGGAATCACGTGAGCCATGTGCAGGAACTCCACAGCCTGATGAGATCCCTGACACTGAAGGGCAGACTCTGAGACAAACTGCTGACCTCGGGTAGGAAAGCCAGATAACAAGGAGGCAGGATCTGCTTTTCCCTTACCCTGGGAATGAAGGCTTTGCTCCTTCTGGTCATCTAATGTTGCTTTAACACCAGAGATGCCAGGAGTTAACTAGTGACCTGGTTCTTGTCCTGCTGAAGTCAACAGCAGAATTCCAAAACCTAGTCTTTCAAAAGTCAGGGCAAGCTCTTTTAGCTGTCCCTGCAAGCCTAAGCAGGAAAGGAGCTGCTGCTGTCTTTTCCCAGACCTGATAGGAAGCTCCCAAAGAAATTTTAACATTAAAGAAATAAATGAAGCAAAACCTTGGCAGAGTGAAGTTGTACTGGTTCATGCCAGGGCCTGGGCTGTCCATTTGGAGGACAAAGCAAACAAAACCTGTCTAAGAGACCTCCTTATAACCAAGATTTGAAAGGTCCTAGTCTCAAGAGGGAATATTAACACAACAGTGCAGCAAGTGAATTATGCTACTGAAGAAGGGTTGATGCAGTGGAGAGATGACAGAAATGTTATTTGTGTCTGCTGTAAGAGCACCCCTTTACTCTCCACCCCACAATGAGATGCACTCCAGTGATACCTGCTCTTCTGTCTCATATGGGGGTCCCAGGAAAATCCTAAAACCAGGAATGACCTGTCTCAATCTAAATTCAGAAGCAAAAGACCTATAAACAAGGTAAAAGACAGGCTGCTGAGGGAGTGCATCACCTGGAGTCCCTTTGTGGGTTGCTCTGAAATATTCCCCTCCTCTTGGCTCCGTGCTCCAGCTGTCCCACCCACTCTCTGCTCGTGGGGAGGCTCCTGGGAAGGGAAGCAAGGAGTGAAGCCATTGGCTTCCCTGTAAGCTGCTCTAAGGTCACCGTCATGCCAAACACACCCCATCATCCAGCAGTTCCCCTCAGGCCTGATAATAAATCTCTGAGCATTTACACTGTCAGGGGTTATGTCTCATTCTGTGTATTCCACAAGCATATTTCTGCAAGTCAAATTCTGCATGAAGCCATGAGATGCTACATACAGGAGCAGCCTGGAAGGCAGTTTCTGCTTTCTAATTTGCACTTGTGATATCATTGCACATCATCAATTTCTTTCCTTTCTCCTAAATACTACTGATAAATAAAATGTTTTTAGAAAGATTTTCATCTGGTGAAAGTCAGGGTAGCCCTGCTGAACCACTGATAAGAAATTTACACCATCTGAAACCCTGGAGCAAAAAAATATCCAAGTCAATGGGATATAAGCCAAAATTGGAGTGTTTTGCTGGATACAGACCAAATTTACTTGCTTGCTTAAACAGGTGCCTAAGTGCTGTAGTGAACTGGGTCCCAAATATGAAAGCATTTTTTATTTATGTCCACTTCTGCCAGCTTGGACATCTGATACAGAGGTCATCTTATAGCTAACATTTTTGTCTTAAACCCTGCCTATAGCCATACTATAGAACAGCTGCCTGTGGAGTTATGTTCCACACATAACTGTAAAAATAAAATGCAAATGACTGGAAAACGTGGGTTTATAACTAGAAAGAGAATACAAGGGTACCTTGAAATAGAAATAAATGAAAGATTTTCCGCATGCTGAGAAAAGAACTCACAATCTTATATTTCTACTGCATTCTCTTTTAGTAGCGATGTTTCAATCTTGCAGTTACAGTATCCTAGAACTGCCTTAGCTGGAACTGGTTAGACCAGAAGCACTGCATGGGAAAAGGGTTTACACATACATTAAACAAGTTTTTGTCTACAGAGCCTCTTATTTCTCTGTAGGGAATCTATGTTTGTACTAACTGCAATTCCAAACACTTGAAGCAATGTCCCCAGCTGAAATCCCATCTCCCAGGAGCAGTTTTATGTATTGAACCATGATCATTGAACGGAAAAAGGCAAAAGTAAGCCTGGAGGCCATGTCAGAATGCAAGTTCCTCCTTACTTTCTCCAGTTCCTGGCCACCAGATGAGAGTCCTGCCTTCTCACTTGATTTCTGTTCCAGTCCATACTTCATCTCCTCCTGAAATAGGCCTGACCATGTGGGGACCTCTCCTCTCCTTGTCCCTCACACACAGGCAAGCTCACCTCTGGCCTCCCTGTGAAGCCTAGTGAGATGTGAAGTTTGAGGAAAAGGGAATTTGTGCCCCTGAAATTTAATCTTTAAGCTTTGAATCACCATTGCACTAGCTCCAAAAAACCCAGCAGCTGTCAATACTCCTTTTCCCCTGTTGTTGAGGAATAGGTGTGATGTGAGCAGCTTGATAAACTGGGCCATGAAGGGACCTAGAAAGTGTTGCCCTGGCAAAGAGAAGGTGAGGGATCTCATGGGAAGAACTGCAGGCAAAGGAGAAAGAATTCCAGTATGAACTATCCCTGCCAAAAGTTTTCAGGCAGCTCTCCAAAGCCAGTGGGTTTCTTAAGTTTTATTTGATACTGTAACAAGCTCAGTACAATCAGGTGTTTAAGTGTGCAATTTAATGGCTATTTTAAACCATCAAATTTTAAATAGACAAGGAATGAAATAATGCATCCAGTTTAATTTTGAAATTATTCTCTCTAATCTAATATAATTAAGTCTGTAAAATAGACTCAATAAATTACGTATTTATTTGTATAATTTTTAGCTGGACGGAACTGCAACAGCTAAAACAGTAAGCTAAAAGATTATCCTGGGTCTTGAGATATGAAAGATAATTTACTACCCCCAGCTACCAATAAAGAACAGTATTTGCATAGGGAAAACTCTCTATTTTGTTCATCAGTGCCTCAACTTATTTTGCATCTCAGGCTTTCTTTGTGGCACCAAGCCAGAGGCTAAATGCATTTAATGTGCATATTATTGCCACGTTGATGTGAAACTCAGTAGCCCTGAAATGTCTTATTTGTTTCTTTGTGGTAAACATAACCATAGTTAGAAACAAAGGAGAAAATACCAAAGGATGCAAGTCTGATCAGCAAACACTATACAGGGAATATTTAAACTAATTATCAGGTTTATCAAAACTGGGATGGATGATTAGCAGCTTGATTTTTATTTCAGAGGATGGTAATATTGCCAGGATGGGGGAGAAACAATGAAGACCTCCAAGGAGAGGTGGCTAGCAAATAAATAAAAAATAAAACCCCTTGGGTCCATTCAAGATGGTGTTAGAGGCTACCTTGAAGAAGAGTGTGTGCCCAGGGCTCAGAGGTCCCACCTCATCCTGCCACAGCACCCCTGAGATGTGCATCTCCAGAGGACAGGGCAATGGCACCAGTGCAGAACCAAACACCAAGTGCAGAGCTCCTCATCAATACATTCTCTTTTTGCCATCATGTTTGTGGAGGTTTTCCCTTTTGCTAATAAATATTTGTTCCTTGGCATGATGCGCCTTTATTTTGATTGGTTTTATTTATCTAATCCTTGCTCTGAAAAGCCCACAGTGTATTGAATCACTACATGGTTTTGATTCTATATTTGAAGAACCGTGACTTTCTGCACACAGAAAGTAAATTTAGATGGAATTTACAAGTCAGTAAATATAGCTGGTATTCAAGGGTATCAGCAAAGCGATGCTCCAGAAATTCTAGATGCCATATTCCCTTGCATACAACCAGACACAGTGCCAAATATCAGTAAACAAACACGATGCACCCTTTTCCAGGGATAAATCAGAGGGATAGAGAAGGGCAGTCTTTGTAATCCATGCAGTCAAAAAGCTATTTAAGCATAAACTCTTGCTCTGACTCTCCCACTTCTCCAGCTGCAGAATGAGGAGAAAGGAATTTACCCCACCTCAGAGGCTTCTTGTGAGGGTAAGCAAACAGTGCATGGATGCCATGCTGTTAGGGCTACCTAAGGAGAGAAGAAGAGGGAGGGGAAAACTTCCCACAGATCTGCCTTTTGGCCAAATGGCTGGAAAACAGAGATGGTGTCACTAGAAGCACAAGCTTTACATCAACCCTGCCTGAGGGGCTTCAGCCAGCACCAGGAGCTGAGGACCAGGCACAGCTGCTGTCCAGCCTGGAGCAAACACAGAAGTGCCACAGACAAATGGATGTTGCAGGTTTCCATGATGGACCTGTGGGGCCCAGGGCTTCATTCCTCTTCCTAGTCTTCTTGTGGTTTCAGACCCTTTTTTAATTGCTTTTTCTCATCAGGGAAAACAAGTATGTGAGCTGCAGGTCTTTGTTCTGTAAACTATCAAGTGCTAAGAGAATATAAGTATTATCACTGCTATTTATTTCACCCTTTGGTGTTTTGTCTCTCTTTCCTGATTGGTTTAAGATGACGAATGTCAGAACTCTGTTCCCAGTCACACACCTCTTGGGCAAAAAGACAATGCAATGTGACATTGAACACGTGTACCAGAGACCATCCTCCCTCTTCTGAATATCAAAATCACACAGCAAAAAGCACTCGTAACAATAGATGTATCTTTTATTCACAGATAAAAACTGAAGCAAGCTGTTATAATACATATTTATACAAAGGATTTGAAAAAACCATAAAAAGGAAGATGATTAGAAAATATGATTCGTTATGAAATGTGGTATTACATACACTATTAAACCTTTTCAAAAGTATTTGTTTGGCAACAATTTATCAATAGTTTCCACACTTAAGTGGCCTCCTTCAAAAAAGCACAAATCTCATGCAGCATGTATAAACTTGATCCTGAGGGTTTGCCTTCCTTAGAAAAACTGTAAAAAGATATACTATTTGTCTTAAAAGTTCAAAATGCAAATGCTATATTTATAGTCAAAACTATATAAAAATATGGACCTAACTTAACATTTACAAAAACTTTTTGCTCCTTTTTTTTTGCTTGTTTTATGGTTTTGGTAATAAACATAATTCTCAATTCCTGCAGTCAGAGAGGAAAAAAGAAAACCAAAACAAACCACAGTGCCCTTTGTAGACTTCCTCACATAAAGTTTACGATTCCAAAAAAGACCAGGTCTATGAAAAGTGAGGTTAGTAACCAAGGAAGTAGGTAAGCAGTTAATATATATCTATATATGTATATATAAAATGGAAAACAAACATTTATTTTGATCTGAAAAAGGAATAATACAAAACCTGAAGGTAAAACAATCATCTCAAAATGCCATAATACTCCTTCTCAATAGATAAATGTTCATAAAAATATTTTGAACCCTAAACAAGAAAACAATTATAATACAATTTTAATTCTGCTACATAAAACAGCTTTTCTATGAAACAAGAAGGCAAGTTCAGGTATGAAAACATAATTTACTTATTGCTTTTGCTACAATGTTGTTTGTTTTTACATATAATCATAAATACACTATACAGTATAAAATATTTTGTAGGAATACATTTTGTGGTCTGCTTAGGTTTGCTGGCTTTAATTCTAGCACCAAATACAAAAATGAAAACCAAATGAACTTTAAAGGCACTTCCATTTCATGTTTGTTTGTTAATTAACATCAGGGTTTGTACTAAATTGCTTCACTTCCCTCTGGTAGAAGCAATACTTGTTCCTACTTTTACCTTTGTACAGCTCAGGTCACGTTGAGGCACCAAATGATTTATGAACATTCCCACTCCTCAGCTGTTTCTTTCTCTTACAACATTCATTGTTGCTTTTTAGTCTTCACCTTTCCTCCTTCACTTCCCAGCTACTTTATCCGTTTACTTCTTCATGCTGGACGACCCAGCCTCACTTGCCCAGTCCCTTGAGAAACCTCTCCTCAAACCTCCACCTCCCGCACTCCGTCCTGCGCATCGCTTATCCCGATATCGAAGCACGTCACTATCATGATGTGTGACTTGCACAGATTAACACACTGCTCCAGCTCCTCTGTCACTTGTTCCAGTGCCTCCAGGTACTCCTGTGACTCCTTATCCAGATCAGGATCCACTTCAACTGTCAGACAAGAAAGTACTGAGTAAGAGAAGCAGCTTATCATAAAACATTATTCTATCACAAAGCAGCCAACATGGTAAAATTTAGTTTTTCTTGAACTAAGACTTTCTTCCTTCTTTGTTCAGCAGATACAAACCTCTGCCTTGAGGCTCCAGTTATGCACAACACTCAGTCTGGGAACAAATCTCATGCCTCAATTTCCCAGCTATAACATGGATATATGGAAACAATTTTTTCCTTCTTTGGAAAGAAGAATAATAAAAGACTAATAAAAATCACATTTAATATTAGCAGCACCATTTTAATGTTCTCTTCTGGTTTGTTTGCATTTTTTTTTTTAAATAGCACATTACAGAAACACAGACTGAGTCACAGAGAATTTTAGGACTCAATTCAGCAAAATATCTTAGCAATTGATTAAGTTTTTCAGTGGGAGTGCTGACATGCTGAAATTATGTTAGAGGCTAATCATACTGCTGTTTTTGCAAAATACTTACAATCTTCCTTCCACTTGTTTGGATCCATCATCAACCTGCACTTTGTCTCTTCTAACTCTTCCTTCAGAAATTCGTGCTTTGCCTTTATTTCCCTGATTCGCTGCTGGCGCCTCTCTAGTATCTTCAGCTTGGTATGGAAATACATCAGACCCTTTTAAGACACAGAAAGACCATTCCATGAATTTTCCTGCTGCAAGCCAGCCTATAACAGTCTGACAAAAATTGCTCCCAGCTCACTACTTGCAAGAATGAACAGGTGGGTTGTTTTATTTGGTTGTGGAGTTGGTGGGGTTTTTATGGGTTTTCAGGGGGCCTTTTTATTTGAAGTTTACATTAATGGATTCTAATCTAGAGCAACTGCAAGCTACATCACTTGAGCATTTGTTGCACTTCTCTGAATTAGCAAACATCTCTTCATACATTCTGAAATTACTACTGTTTGTAAATAATTCTTTTTTCCAGTAATGAAAATGATAAACACAGCCTAATGATAATGTCAGAGTTCTAGTTAGTACTAAAACACGAATTCTTATTTTCTAAAAAGCATTCCTACCTTCTCAACATCCTGGAAAGGCTATTACAAAAGAAAGGGGAAAAATGCATCAGTAGAACATAGAATTCTGGTCTCTAAAATAGAATTAGTTGAAGTGTTTTCCAATTACAAGTAAGTCAAACTCAGTATATCCCTGATTTAATAGAATCCTGTCATTTACATAAAGAGTTAATGACCCTATCGTTGAGGGAGGCTGTAAGGTTCCACCAGCCAGGCCAGGATTATGAAGTCTTCTCATAATGTATTCATTGGTAACTTCCTTTTACACCACCAGTCATGTTAGACACAATTAATTTTAGACAGTAATAATTTTCATTTTCTGTGTTAAGGGTACCCCAACATATGAATTGTAAAATTAATAATTACAGTACTTTAATTGCACTCAATTTCCTGAACACATACATTTTGGTATTCAAGCAAGGACTTTGTGTGTATATTGTAATTTGTCTACAGTTGTAAAATATGTCCTGACCTCAGTTTCCTCTTGTCTGTGTCGCTGTAATCGTTCCACATCATCAATCTCATAAACTTTAATTTCAAATGGCTCTTTCAAAGTGCCTGGCAAAGGTGGTAGATCAACCCATTGGCCAGTGACACTGGGTTTTCTTCCTAAGGAGGCAGCATCTGGCAATGGTGCAGGAATCAGTCTGCGCCGCTGGAGACCTAAAATACAAAAACAAACATTCCTCAGGCTCTAAGAGACTAACACACTGCAGAACATACTACAGTGAATTAAAGAAAGATCTAGGTTCTCAATATACTTAGGAAGAAATGCTTTTCTTGATCTTTTCCTTTTAGTAAAATACCCTCAGGCTGCTAATTGAGTTACTGCCTTGACAAAGTAGGCTTCACTTGGTTCCCAGATGGGAGCAACAGCAGTTCCTCTCCCAAAGCAGATGTCTGAACATCAGTTCTTTATTCTCTCCTTGCAGAAATATTTTGCCTGGATTGATTTTTCTTTGGTGGACTACAATGGTATTCATTACCTTGCAAAGGCAGTGTGATAGTGAATAACCTAAAACTAATACTGATAATGACTTACTTATCTGGAAATCTTCTGCTCTCCCAGTTAAAGCCAAGCAAGACTATCTAAGATCCCTGTCACTGCACTACATCTTTGCAAAGCTCAAACAGTTCCCTCCAGAACTACTGCTGCTATTTTAGGGAGCTAAATACCATCAGTTTTCAGTGATTTTGTGGGATTGAGAGGCATTCAGAAGGCATCAACCCAGCTACAACTTGAGCACCTCTAATGTTGAGACATCTCACACATTTGCACCAGCACCCAGAATGCTCAGTGCATGACAAAACTCACCAGTTCTGGGAGCCTTCAACACAATGCTTCCAGATTTTCTGAGAAAATTATACTGCTCCATTATCCTGCTAAGATTCAAGCTTCATGAAGCAGAGACTCACTTACATCCTTCAAAAATGCAAGAGCTGGCACGCTGTTTCCCAGCGGCTTTTTTGTGATTATTAAGTTTCTTAGCATTCTCTAAAAAGCGGACCTTTACAGTACATGTCTCAAGCTTGACTACATGCATAGAGCTGGTTCAGGCAATATTAACAAGCCTGCAGCCCAATCCTTAAGAAGAGGAGGGCTGAAAGCCACTAGAAACAAGCTGTAATGACACAAGGTAGCAGTAAGTGTAAGCTGGCTTTAGGTGACTGGTGACAATAAATTTAGTACTTAATTGCCTCTTCTTATTAAAAACTAACTCGGAGGTGAAGAGTCTTGTTTCTTCTGCTCTTACCAAAGGCACCACATCAAACAGACAAGGCAGCTCTGCTCAAAGGACAATGCTGCCAAAATAACTTCGGGGCTAAGACCTCTACAGGAGATGTAAGCACAAGCCAAGGCTGTCAGGTAAGTCATGAACTCCAACATAAATAAATAAAATCCCAGCAGGTACTCTCATAGCAAAACACCTCCACTGATACCCCAAAAGTTATCTACAAGCATCTCTCATTCTTAATTGTATCCTTGCTGATTTCTAAGTAACAAGAACAAAATGTGAATGTTTTCAAAAGGGGAAGACTTGATTCTACTTCTACAAAATCATTCTCACAAGCCCAATCCATTCAGCCTGAATTACCACTACTGTCCTGTCAGACACAGCCACACACTGTAACCCTGACCCTGTAAACTGCTGACAGGAGATCCCTCTGAGGAGGACACCAAACAGATACGGTCAAACACATGCAATAAGCAGGCAAACTTCATCTCCTTCCGCTGTACAAGCCATGTTCAACATCATTTCTCCCTTACAGGATAAGGAGACAGGTTTACAGTGACGTACACGGGAGTAAGATGTGTCCTTAAATCCAGAGACTCCAACATAGTCTGGTGTTACATAAATCACTCCAAGAATATCTAATGATGTGCAAAGATTACAATTATTTTCGAACAATAATAGGTCTGAACCAAACATTTCTTGTAAGAAATATTTGATGCACTTCCTGGTAAACCGCATTTCATGCATAAAACACATTATTTTCTCAAAGTATACAGCACTCCAAAAAAGTAATACATAATTTACTGATATAGAGCAATTACAACTGGAAAAAGAAATAGTTTGTCATTTTTAAAGACCTTATAAGTATTTCCTGGGGCAAAAACAAATACAAATCCATCTGTGGGTAATGCCTTCTCAATGTGTGTGCAACTTATACAGCAGTTAATATTGATTTGTGGGAAAGGTTTAAGAGGCAGATATGCTATGGAAAGAGAAGAGCAGCAAATATTATACTAAGTTTCCAAAATGATCTATCACTTGCTGAAGCAACTCAGTTTCCTTGACCAGAAAGCCCCATGAGATCAACTTCATTCATTTGGTTTTACTGCCAGAACTGAGCATCATGGGCATCTACAGGGATTGCAGTAATTGCCATTTTCCAGTCAGAAGTTCAGACCCAGCACATTGCTGATATTAGTTCCTAGTGTATTTGCAGCAGTCAGTACACCAGGTTGCTGAAGGAGGCTGCTGGTCATGATCTACATGGCACTGGTTGCCATCGGTTCATTACAATACCACAGCATCTCAAGCTAGATCTGAGAAATGAACACTGTAACACCAACCATATGAGCCAGATTTTGAAGCTGACTACAAATACACTTGGACTGCAGCTGCACTTACATGAGCACCAGCAGTGAGAGCAATAAGAAAAGGCTCCAGAGGGAAGGGGACCCGGCCCCCACACGCCCACCTTTTCTTGGCATGGTCAGACACAGTGAGCCAGAGTTGCCTCTTCCAAGCAACTCTCACAGTCAGTTTCCTACTCCATATAGCATACACACACACAGCCTAAAATTTCTTAATATAAATACTATTAGAGTGCAATACAATAATGTTGTGATTAGCTAGTAGCATTAACCTAAGAGTCACTGCATCTTATACACACGCCCTACTGCTCTAGGCCTTACCTTAGGGTAATCTAATGCACATTCAGCAATCCTCATTAATTCACAAACTCTCTTCTCCCCTCCCAGCCTAGTCCTTTGTTTCTTAACTAGAGTCCTGGCCTGCCTCTCTGGCATTCCCTCACAGACACCTAGCAGCAGAGCTCCTCCTCTCCTCACTGCCCTTCTCTCACCAGTCTTCCAGGATCACTCACTCAAATCCTCACAAAAACTCATCAGCACTCAGCCAGCACCTCACTTACCCCAACCCAGCCACAACACCCTCCTATGTGGGCCACCGTGGCCCTGGCCCTGCTGAGGGAGGAAGGAATGTCCCCCACCTGCCGGCAGCCACCTGCTGCCTCCTCCCTCACAGGGAGGCTGCCGGCACCCCGGGGCACCCACACCTCTCCTGCCCTCTCCACCACAGCACCTGTGTCACACCTGCAGCTTTGAAGTAAAATAAATGACAAGTAGCTGCTGTCACAGCAATACACATGAACACACAAGTGCATGCAGTCAGTCCACCTCCCTTCTTTTAGCTCCCTCCAAGCCTCCTCTCCTCACTGTCAGAGATGCCACAAAACGCCTCCATCCTCAGGGTGCAGTGGAGCACCAGCAAACACATGGCCACCTGCCCCTTCATGTCCTACCTGTTGACCGTTTCTTGGGGGATTTAAGGCTCCTCATGCGACCCGGCGAGGACATCCCGCTCTCGCTCATGGAGTCGTGTGCCGAGGAGGCACTGCCAGTGGCCTCGCTGTCCCGAATCATGCTCTCATAGCCGCTGCTGCCCCCGCTGTGGTAGAAGAGAGCCGTCCTGCCCATGGCTGGCGGCAGCTCCCCGCTCAGAACGCTGCTGTTGTCACTGCCATGCCCACTGCTGTAGCGCTGCGGCCGCCGCGGGGCTGTGATCTTGCTGTAGGGCGACGGCAGCACCGGCATCTGTGACTTCTCGTCGCTGAGGTTGATGCCGCTGTCATTGCCGCTGTCAGAGTCGGTGGAGCCTCGGAAGTGTCCCGCCTTGGCAGAGCCACCCGACACCAGCTCGTTCACGCGGCTGTTGGCTGCCCTCATGGCCTGCTTGGTGCCCATGATGGTCCCGCGGCCGGGTTTGCTGCTGACAGGCTGCACAGAACGGGGGGCTGCCTTCCCAGCAGGGGCCATGCCAGCGCCCTTCCCTGCAGGCTGTGCCAGGGACTTCACAGAGGAGCTGAGAGACTTTGACCCACTGGCAGAGAGGCCCCGGTTTTTATTCCCATTGGCTTGCACCTTCTGGTTAGCTGTGGGTTTTGCCTGGTTGTTTTTACCAGGTGCAGGAGTGGTGAAGGGCAGCGGTAAGCCCATACTGGAAGCAACAGGAGGGACCCCCAGCCTGGGGACAGAGCGCCCTGCACGGCTGCTGCCAGTGCTCCCGCTGTCCCTCACCATGCTTGCTTTGGATCCAACTGATGTCAGGCTGTCACACCTCTCCAGAGACATGTGGCTCCCGTATCGGTGCACACTTTCACTCTTTGACGCCTTCACCTTTAAGCTGGACGTCATCTTGGGCAAAGAGTGGTCACCCTTCAAGTTCATTTTGTAGCTGGCACTTTCACTAAAGTAAGAGCCAGCTTTCAACCGTAAATCTGCTTCGTCTTCAGCCTTTGGTGTGGCAGCTCTGGCAAAGTCCAGGCCAGAGGCTTTCCCCCCACCATTGCCCAGACCAACAGGTTTCTGCTCCAGGCTCGATTTACGTACAGGAGGTGTTGGAGGTGTTGGCCCACCTGGCCTGGGCAACATGGTTGATTTCTGTGGTGCGTTCTTCTTTCCCAGGGACGATTTCAAGCTGCCAGTGGCCAGGGGAGCATCCGAATTCCCTCGGATCACACACTCCGGCAAAGTACTGTTAGCATGTGTCACTGGCGTCACTCCCAGTGTGGTGGCTCCTCTCTTCAGCTGTGGCATCTTCATCGCAATTTCTGACTTCTTGGCAGCTCCGCTGGAGGATTTGCAGGCCATTTCACAACCATCCACAACCCTCTGCGAACAGCCAAGCATAGTCTGTGACTTTGTTGGCCTGGACTCTGTGCCAAAACCCTGGGCAGCTTTTTCTGGCTGCTTCTCAGTACCAAACGTGTGAGGTTTTGGAGACAGAAGCGACTCTGCAGGTTTTGCTTCCAAGTGATAATCGGTGCGTAACAGCCAAGGATCTTCAAATATACCATGTGGATTCTGCAGCTCTTTATAGCTGAGGACAGTATTATTGTGGATTGGAGAAGAGGTAGTTTTTGTTTTCCTAGGAAGACTAGAATGTATTGTTTCTATCACAGGCGCATCACGAGAATTACTAAATTTGATTTTTACTGGCTGATCAGTGACACAAAAAGCACTTTTTATCTGAGATGCTTTGGTAGTTTCAGAGGTTTGAGGGCTTTTACTGATGCCTGAGGAAAGCTTGCTGGAACTCAAGCTCTCACTCTCCAGCTCAGAGAAGCAAAATCCACTGTCATTCAGAGCACTTTTCAGGGGGACACATAAATGGGATGAGTCCAAGTTGAAGGGTTCCTCAGACTTATTACAGTTGTAAGATGACTGTGCAACAAAACTGTCACTAGACTGGGCTCCATCACTTTCAATTGTACAAATGCTGACTTCACTAAGCCATGAACTGATGGAGGAACGTCTGCTGCTGGTAAAGGGATCCTTAGCAAAGGGCACAACAATATCAATATTTACACCAGTAGAAGTCTCCTGTGAGGTATAAGCATCAAACTCATCATTTATGCTGCTGATAATACTGACCGGCCTCGAACCCGATGCAAGGGCCTGAAGGGAGCAGTCACTGTTAAAGCTAATGATACTGGAAGGTCTCCCATTATCCATAACTCCACTAATAGAGAGCTCTTCCACCACTGTGAAAACAAGCTCATCCTCTCCATTCAGCTCAACAGGCTGCTGCAAAGTCACTGTGGTGGTCAGTATATCCCGATCAAAACACTTCCCTCTGAATGCTGACCTGAAGCTGTGTACCTCTATCGCACCCGACTGACTCTGCGTGTTGCTACCAACAAGGAATGTGCTTCCTCCTAAAGGGTTTTGCTCAGGTTTGTTTCCCATCTGTTTGCTCATTCCCACAGGAGGAGTCCGAACTGCATTGCTGTTGTCAGGCTCCAAATTCTCAGCTTTGGAGCTTGGGGAGTGTTCTCTCTGCTGTGGAGGGGGAGGCGCTGGGCTTGGCAAGGGTCTCTTCATGTACAAGGACTTTTCCTTAGTGACACACTCAGCTGTGGCCTTATTCTGCTCTGGATTCCTCAAAGGGCTACACCTTGGAGTCTGCAGGGAATCAGTGATTGTCTCTCTCTCCCCCTCTAGGACAGAGTCTATTATTTTGTTGTCAGCTCTGCTCTGCAGCTTGGAAAGCTCTGCTTTCAAGTGAGATGTGCTATTTTCTTGACAGTTGCCATTGCTACCCCTTGGTGCAACAGACTGGAAAGGAAGGTTATATCCTTTTTTGGGAGATGCAGTTTCTTGCAGAATCGGTTTCTTAAGTCCTCCAGAAGGAGAGGATACTTTTTCCTTTATCAACTTAGACTGTGCATTTTCTGTACTTCCAGGAACAGGACTACAATTGGACCCTACAGAGATTTCTCCACAAGCATATTTCATGGGTTCCTCACTTCCATCAATGCACTCTAACCTTTCCTGCAGTTCAGCAAAAGTGTTGCATTTGAAATGGTCCTTGTCAGAACTCCTACTAACAGCAGAATTATCTTTATTTCTCTTCTTATTTAGGGATGGGATAATGGGAACAAACTCTGGTGGACCTTCATTATCTGTCAATTCCCTGTCAGACAAAGCTGCACCATTGGGACCAACATAGATGACAGTATCACAAGACTGTTCACTGCTGGAGGAATAATCAGGATCACTGGATATATTCAGGACAGGAAGGTCAGGGTCAAGAGCAACAGTTCGAGGGTGGAATGGTCGCAAATGGGGCGGTCTCCGGACATGTCCTTCCTCACATGAACTCTCTCCTCCAGACGAGCTGGATGCATACTGCAAATGACAAGTAACAGTAAATTTATTAGTAGTAATTGATAAATAAGTATATACATGCACAGAAAGTGATTAAAAGGTCAGATTGCAATAAAAGCTGTGCTTTGTGTATCGTATCATAACTACATCTAGTGGATAAATATTAGAGGGAAGGGTAAATTAAAATAACATGCTACATAGATTTTACTGTATTAGTAATAATGTAACAATCACACCTTTTCAAATAATTTCCATTAAATATTTTGCATTATCATTCTCTTCAATAGTTTTCTGTTCCTCTTCTACTGATTTTTAATTAATACTGATAGAGGCTTTTGAGATAGTTCCACATGTAAGCAAAGAAAGAATACGTGTTTGAAACAAAAAGAAGGGAATTTCAGGATAAGGACTGGGGGCAGAATGATGGCTCAGTGCCAAGTCATTTGTCAGTTCCTCTCCTGAGATTTTATGCATTTTGTATTACTTCCTACCATCGAGAAAACCCATGTTCCCCTACTGAGAGGTTAGGAAAACTCATTTTCAAATGAATTAATTTCTGCTTGTTTGTGAACCAACCTTGGATTTCTTCTTTCTCATGCGGTGGATTCGTGATGCGAGCTGAACAGTTGTGAGAGTCTCTGCATAATTGGCTGGGGAGTCAGAAATGTGTGCAATCATAGTAGTCCTGCAGTTGATGTTTCCAAGTGATTCCCTCAACAACATTGTCAACTTGTTGTCCCTGTGCAAAAAAAAATGAAAACACTAGGATTATTTAAAGAAACCCACACCTTTTTTTTTCAGAATTTTACACCACAAGCTGTGCTTTCAGTCTCATGTACTCATGGTACATGTAGATAAGAAATATTGTTATTGACCCTTTACTGACCACACTTAAAATGTGTCTAAATGCACACATACAAAGCCACCAACATTTTATCTGCCTGTATATTTACAGTATGGTAAGTAATTTTGTTGCTTAGAAAATTGTAAACCAATGGACTGATAAATACTTTTCTCAGGTCTAGACCATACTACCCAAAAGAGGTCATGAGTGCTGTATTTTCAGCTGCACAGACTTAGTACCTCCGTGAGCTCTATGCAAACACTTTTAATAATAAGAAATAAAAGAAGTCAACAGAAATGGTAAGAAATCTCTAAAGAGATATAACAATGTTAGATACCAGAAATACAAGTGTCACTGCAGCTAATCTACTTTCCATTCTGCCACCTGTGGTCTGCTCTGACACAGAAAAAGAGAAGCAGAACTTATCTCTGAAGGCTTTCCTGGTGATGTAAAGCCTCCAGTGCGGACAGCAAAGCTGACAAGACAAGTGACATTTTGTCCTCCACTGGTCCTCAAGACATCTTTCTCCATGGCTCCTTGGAGTAGGAAGCTCCCTGCTCCCTGAGCAGGTCAAACCTGAGGGAACTCCTGTCATGTCTGGTCACTAAACCACAGTAGGTGACCAAATTGAGGATCTGCCCTTCCCTATTCTAACCCATCCATCCTCTACTCCATACACAAGCCTAGCAAAGTAGCCTGAGGAAAATATCTCTCTGCTTAATACAGAAAGAAAAAAACCCACCTGTTTGAGATGCATCACTAGATAAATATGTGAAATGACATGATTGATAATGCATTATAACTTTGTGCTGTTGTTAAGACAAGTAGCAATTAAATTTAAGGACTGAAGGCCAAGTTCTGGTAAGGGTGCTTACAATGTGGCTGTTGTCTTTAAGCCGGGCTCCCCACAGGTGGGTTTGACACAAAATTGTTGTCACAGACACTCTACAAAGTAACACACCTAAACATTCACTTCTCCTAAACTAATGTGCAACGAGGTGGTCTTTTTTTTTTTTAATTTAAAAGGTGTATCATCCAAGAAGACACACAGAAATAACAACCTTTGATGACCACACTTGATTAATACTCAATTATTTTCCAAAATTTCAGTACAATTTTTACATTTTCAAAAAGAAGAGAAAATCCTATGAAATTTGAATTAAATTATTCACTAATGTCCAGCTGGCTGAGATCAGCCAGAAATTCCAAATCCAGGAAACAAAGAGAAGAGAGAAGGAAAGAAAACATCTTAGCCATTTTCCCCTCACTTTTTTCAACAATCAAACCCTCCCCAACACTTCACCCAAATTCAGTATACCAATATACCAGTTTTAACCATCTAACTAAGAATTTCATGTTACCTGAACATTTAAAAACCTGTGTGCATATTAATATGGGCAATTAGATGAAAGATACGTGCATCTGTAGGAGTGACCTTAAAAGAAGACGGACCCCTCTCTGACTGCATTTCCTTTAACTTCATATTAGGTGAAGAGTAAATTGTTGATGCAATCCATTTCTCAGGTAACTCCAGCCACAAATTTAAGATAATGCAGACTTAGAATTCACTTACTTATATGGCACATGCTTAGCACCATTAATTAAGGCCAAAATTACGTTGCCCAGGGCAGAGAGAGACAGACACAGAGAGCCTCCTCCATCTCGGCTCTTGCTCAGCACTTTTTCACAGCTCCCCAGATCAATGAGATGCAAGCGACTACGTCCTCCAGACACTACAACAAAAAGGGGAAAAACAGTTGTACATCACGTTCTTGCATGGACTCAAGCCAAACCTGGTATTCAAAATGCATTCAAATGAGGAGAATAATGAATACAGCATGGGATAATGGCTAAATTAATGTTTAATTGTAAGGAAACCAGATATTAGTCACAGCTACGAAAGTTAAAGGTGACTCAACTGGCTTGAGAGTTCATTTTTTTCTTTTTAAGTTAATTGCAAATCATTTATAAAACTAATGCAAGACCACATAATTTAAAAATAAACAATAAGGTAAGAACATTCATACTTCCTCCTTTGCCACTCTTCTCCATGCGATACTGGTATATGTGAAGAGTAAAGAGCATGTGTGAATTCCTCCTATCTTCCTCCTCACATTCAGGCTTGCTGGTGCTTCTGGCAGCAATTGCAGCATCAAGGAAAAAGGCAGCTTTCTCTGCTGTTGGGGCCCTTAGCTCACTTTGGTTTTGAAGCTTGAATATAAACAAGAACATGACTAATTAGCACAGGGGCATTTTTTTATTATTTTTTTGCTGAACATGCTAAATCTCCAGGGCACTAAGAGAAACAAATATGTACACCATGGGAGATGGGCTTATAAATTAAAAGCAATAAATTTTTTTTACTGGCTTAAAAGTTGTCATAATTGTTGTCAGATAAAAGGAAATAAAAAGTAGAAGAAAGTCAGGCTCAGAAAAATCTATGCTGTGCTATTCATTATACCTGGGTTCCACATATTGGATCTTCTCTCAGATAAACCCCAGGAGACTGGCCATCCTGAAGGCTGCCAGTGGCTACTTCAGCTAACAAATCCTTAAGGTTTTCATCTTTGCCACTGATCTCTACAGCAGATACTCTAATAGAGAAACGAGTTCCAGTTTTTTCTTTACGTTCATTGATCAATTTGAAGAGCCAAGAAATTGCACAGGGGATGATACCAAGGCTTTGTGTGGAGTTATCTTTCCCAATCATGGTAAAAGATTTTCCTAGAATGAAAAGACAAACGTAAACACAATTAACCTTTCTTGTACAAGGCAGTGTGTCTTCATATTGCCACCTGATATCATCATGTGCATTACATGTAATGCCATGTGCTGCACAGATAAGGGAAAAAAGAACAGATAAAAAAACTCAAAGTATTTAATTAATAACCCATGACTATTTATTCAATTAGGTTTGCAAGTTTCATAAGCCAGACCCACAGTAAATTAATGTTAAAAACATCTCTGATCTTTTGATTTTCATCACAATGCACCTACATAAACTTGCTCTTGAATAAGCTAATCTGATGCTACATTTTACCTTTTCAAATTAAAACTTACAATCACAGTGTAGAAATAAACCGTGATAAGTTTGCAAAGCTAATTAAAAAGAAATTCTAATCTATTCATATACTCCAGGTTTATTGTTCCAGGAGCTGACAGCATGTAATTACCAGACTGACATAGTAATTAACTGTAACGAATTTGGGAGCTCACCAAGCTTGACATGACCAAAGCAAAATATGCAACCATCTGCACCATTCACAACAGACTGGATTACTTCTGCTACTGTTCCAGAGCATACCTCAGCCTGAAAGAAAAATTGGAGACAAGTAAGTGAAAGAGCATATACTGCTGTGGTTTTTACTATTCTTCTGTAATGAAATGAATGATTCAATATTTTTGAGGCACAATACTCTCCCCATTTTTATGGCATCAGTCCTATTATTTTAGTAACTATGCTATCTTAAAAAATAATAAAATATGCTACTACAGCCTAAAATAGTTTTCAATTCTATTAAACCTATTCTCTTGGAATATTGATTCTATGACTAATGTAGCAAACTGAATTCTATCCAACCAGGCTTCCTGCTGGTATAATAGCTTAGCCAAGGCTATTTAGTAATAGTAGCAACTCCACTGAAATTAAGCTACTCAGGAGTGCTCACAGGAATTAAAAAGACATCCATAGTGGAGAAAATGCATTAAGATCCCTGAATAAGATTTCATAGTATCACATTTTCCTCTTCCAGTGGAAACATCATCATCAATAAAGAAACCTTGCTAAAATACTTGATTGTGCTAAAACCAGTTTATCCACGTCAGGGAAGGTTTCAAACACACAATAAGATGATCTATTAAGTACAGCAACTGGGGGGCAGGGGAGGGGGCTGCTGTAAATATGTAACTACAGTGAAATGATAAGGCTCTGTTTGCAGGTGCATGGCAGCAAGCTTCCCTCCAGCAACAACACCTCCACAGAAGGAGTGGTAGTACTTCTGTGTCACTGTATCACCCAGTAGTCACCAATATCACCCAAAAACATCACAACAGGCCACCCAACAGCCCTGCCACAAGGAGCTGAAAAGCCATTCCAAACCAGGGGTCAACAGCCTGAAGGACTGGTGCCAAAACCAGCAGACACGCAGGCTGTGACCAGCCACCTTGCAGCAGGGCTGGCAGCACAGGTAAGCAAACCTCACTTCCAGTTCTGGACTCATGTTGGGATCCCTGCTGCATACTTCTGCACAAAGACCCTGCTTGAACTTATGCAGGGTCTAAAAACAGCTTTGGGTTGTGGCCACCTGTGCTTTGGGCACTGATGTGTGGGAGAAGCTATTCCCCATCTTTAGTGCTTGTCTAGAATTTAGACTCAATAGAGTTTTTCTTATCTACAGTCTGGGATCCAAAAAATTAAACAAAATCCTAGGAGAAGATCTGAAGAGCAGATTATGAACTAAACCTTGTCATATTCTCTTAACATTAATAGACTATTTTCACTTTGGATGCTTTGCACTATTTTTCAGCCTGATTTTTTTCCAGCAGCCCAGACTTGGTGTAGTTCTTCAAATGCTGTTGAATTAGCTCTTTTAAAGCTGTCCTAGGATTTTACTTTCTGAACCAAAGATTTTTCATAGAAGGAATTTTCAGATGCCCATGAGGGCAACCTCGCTGAATATACAGCAGACTCTAATCCTCTCAAAGAGCAGCCATCCTGTCTGTGTAGCAAATTTCAGGTTTGGGGCTACTACTGAATAAATGCTCCCTTTTGCAGGCCGAAAGAAAGACATGCACCACCATCAGCACAACCATCAACATAAAATAATCAGCCAAAATCACAGTACAAATAAACTGGAAAAGGTGCAGATAATGTAAAAGCTCCCTGTTCCAGTATAACAATCCCAAGGGGTTAGCTTTATCTTTCCTCCTAACAGCATTTAGTTTAACATTAAGCACATGTTTATTTCCCATTGAAAGCTGTGAGGAAGGACTTTATTTCAGTCCCATCAAATGAGTTAAAACCTAGCTGGATAGAAACTGGATTTCAAGCTGACTGTGTGCCTTTCTCTAACAAGAGAATACACAAGAAGTAAATTTTCTCAGCAAATCTATCTCCCCAGCTATTATTCCTTAATTTTACATCTCAACTAAAGAGAAGATGTAAGAATTTACCCACTTGTCTATTAATTACCATGTTCTTTTCAGGCATTAAGGTAACTCATTCAAATAAAATTCCCCAGGAACAGAAGGAACTCCTCAGGCAACCAAATGCAATGGCCAAGAGAAGACTCAAGAGGTTTACACGAGTGACTCCAGTACCTGTGAAGCATCCTGGGGGAAAACTGCATCAAAGGCAAACATCTTTGGGACAGCAACAACACCTCTTCTGTGACCTGCATTGGAAGGCCCAGTTGCTGCTGGATCATAAAATGTGATTTGTTTTTTTCGTGGGTCTACCTTTAGGAAGGACATGGATTCAGACGTTTCATGTGTCCCTTGAGAGGAACAAATCCTTACCATCACTTTCACCTGCAAGGATTCAGAAGAAAGCAACAACTTGAGTTCCCAGCTAAACATATGCAAAGCATTCCTCCCAAACCCACTCCCCTTCCCATGATGTGTTTGTTTGTCATGTTTAGGTGTGTCAGAACAACCGTGGGACAAAAACAGAGCCAGATTTTCCAGCCTGGGGTCTTCACTGAAATAATTCGATTTCAAAGGTGCACTTTGTCTCTTCAGTTGACGCTGTTCCAGTTTTACCAATTCAATTTATAAATGTCTGATCTGCAAGTATGATCCACTGCAGGTGTAACACGATGACAAAGAAAAGAAAATTCTATTCTCCTGCCTTTCAAGTACCCAATGTGACCGAAGGGACACTTTGAAAATCAGTCTGAATAACACAAGGCTCAGACAGCTACTGCATTTGAAATAAGTCTAGAAACTTTCAATTTCTCATTCATATTATTCTAATAAAAAGGTGTCTCCCTTACAACTGTCCCAGGCAGTTGCCTTTATGCTGTCATTGCTAGGCTCTCCAGTGCTTAGTTGCAGATTTAATGGGGGGGAAAAAAGAAAGGAAAAGAAATCAAACCACATACCACTAAAAGGTCAAAAAGCTTGAAAAGAAACCTCTCACAAAAGTACACTTCTATTGCAGCACTAAAAATTATGATATCCTACACAGAGGTTTTTAAGACAGTATCTTTAGAAAGCTCCAACATGTTGGCTGTGATTTCCAAAGCACCTTATGGGAGCCAAGTGACTGGGTCTCAGGAAAATTCAGCAACAGCTGCACACCTGCTTCTTTTAAGCTTCCTGGATATCATACTCTTACTTTAAAAACCTGTGAAATACTGCCTCACACCCACTTACAACCATCTAGCCTTATGAAATGCTCCCATGTCAGCAAGTTTTATACACCTTGCACTGAAGTAAATTACTATTACAGGTGCAACCTCAACTCTGAACTGCCCCGCAGATCAGACTTCAGAGAAAAGCAATGTTCAGTGAGAATTACTTTTTCCATGGTGTATGAAACGTTCCAGTAACAAGCTGAACCACAGTACAATCTCCTTATTCAACTACCAGACAGCTCTCACAGCACCAGAGTTAACCAGGTGGCTGAAGAGCCTCCATGGCTGCAATGTACCACAGCTGGAACAATTTACATATGCACTGTCCACAGCACCCATCAGCACCTTCATCTTCTGCAACACGGCTACTGAGCCAGGGAACACCATTCCTGTTAAAGCACATGGGTTAGTGGTGGGCCTGGAAGTGCCGGGCTAACAGCTAGACTTGGTCTGGAAGATCCTTTCCAACCTAGACAATTCTATGGTTCTATGAGTCAGGCTCAGCTGGATATTACATGGGTTCAAAAGCACTTGTCTCTCATGAAGAATGATTCTCCATTTCAGTAAGGTTTTTACTAAATGTAACCTCAAATATGCCAGAATAACTCGACTCCTACTTCGTTTCAAGAACATTATGCCATTAAAATGGTGTGCACTTACTCCATGAACACATTCTTTGTATCAAAAAATGGGCTTTACAGTCAGCACTTCCCCTTCACTTCTGTGTCCACAGAGATACTGGCAAAGGAAGAACCAAAGCTGAAAATCTACTTCAACAAAGCACAGCATGTGAAATGCAGGCAACAAGCAGAGACCAGAGCAGGCTGAGCCACCCTCAGGGACTGAGGGACGCTCGTACCAGACAAGATGAAAAGCTGACAGCAGACACATCTGCACCCAGTGTGTGCAGTGAAATGCAGTGGCCAAGCCAGGGTGATCCACAGCAGATGTGGGAGCAGCAGGAAGCACCATGCTGAACTGTCCCTGCCTTTACCAGCTGGGGAGGCAGGAAATTCAAATATTTAAGTTCTCAACTGTCCCATTCTTCCATCTCCTTCTCTCTATGGGGGCTAAGCTGCACACAGGCATCCCTACACAATTCCTCAAGCACTCTCAAAGGAAATATTTTCCACAAAGCAGCTCTAAGAGCTTTTCCCCAACATTTCTTCCAAACAAAGAGGTTAAGAAACAACCAACCCTTCCCATAAACACTGCAGGAGGCTCCATCAAACATAGCAGCAAATTCTTCTACCTATTGACTAAGCTGTCCCCTGATTCAACACTTTTTCTTTCACCTTTCACAGTAATACAAATATGAAAATACAGTCCCAGAAAACAAGCAAACCTTAGAATAAATGAAACAGCTGCCTCAAAAGCAAAGTGCATCAGAGGTGACACACTCAAGGCTGTTTCCCCATAAAAGCTGCATGAAGCCAGCTTTGTGTATTAGCCTGCTAGCTCAACCTTGACATGCTACCAAGGTGCTCATAAAAAATAACCTCCCTCAGGGCAAAAAAAAAAAGAAACAAAACATAAATATATAAATATATGTAAGTATAAATGCCCACTTCAGGGTCACTTGATTAAAATGAATTTTAAAATATATGCTGTTTTTGAAGCACTTATCTAAACAGTCCTTTCTGTTCTCTCTTCCATCTATTATTAGATTATAGCAGCCAGAGCTTGGATAAGAGGAAAATTGGCTTGCTCCTGACCTAAACAGCAAGTTACCTCCATCAGAGCATTGCTCCCCCTAAACACAATGATGGCTTCAGCCACAGAAAATCCTTGTGTGACAAATTAGCTTTTTAAGACCACCTCTCTGAATCAGAAAGATACTAAAATAGCTTCCCATAATGGATCCAATCCCAAACTTAACAGGTCTCAAGGGTCATCTCCATGTTTACAATAGAAGTGAGCTTTCAAGACAAATGTGAGGGGAGAGAGAAAAGCAGCCTGAGGGACCTCCCCTTTTAGTGTTTTGTGTTTAAAAGCTGGTTTTCAGAATAGAAAAACAGATTTCATATTCAGTTTTCCTGCCCACTAAATATATCTGTAAGTGATATCTATCAGCAATTGCAGAGTTATAATGTGCCACACTCATTCATGATGCTGAGCCAGGCTGATTTCACTCAGAAATAAAGCAGAAATGCTCATGGAAGTACCATCAAGCACAAAGATTACTCAAACATATCCCTTCACAAGAGCAAAAACTGAGAGCAAGCAGATCCCAGGTCCATGCACATGCTTCTGTGTGTAGAAAGGAAAGGTTTGATGTAATACTGTTTATTCTTCTCACACTTCCTGCATGCCTGTGGTTGAGGACCAATCTTAAGTGACAGGTTTACACTCTCAGCTCCGAAGCTCATCCCAGTATTCTTCTGGAGTTAATACTGCAGGAAAACAGTACAGTGTGAGTACTACAGAGCCAGCTTGGCTCTTGCCTGAAGGAGCAGTTTAACTGCAGCTTCTCCTGGGTCTCTTTATCTGCTTCTCATACAAAGGCATGCTCACCTGTAGAGACAGCAATATGTGGTCCATCCAGAAACAAGGGCTTGCAGGGAGGGGAGGATTCAGGATAACACAGGGACTATAAACTTGAAAGTAGCTTTGGCCCATAACTAGGGAGCAAATCAGCAGTGACTGCACTCTAATGCTTTTATTTGCTTAAGAAAATGAATTAACGGAATTGAGTGCAATTAATTTCCGGCCCACTCAAGATCCCACCTTTTGTGGCAATTATTTGGCAGTATGTTCAGGTTTCTGGGGTCATCTCCAACTGCAGTGGTACCAGTGACTGCTTACATTTGTACAAAGCAAAGAAACACAAGAAAAGGGATTTAGAGGAGAATGACTCAAGCAATGGAAGAACAAGACAGGTCTAAAGGAAAAAGAACAGGTAAGGGGGGTGGGAATCAAAGAGAGCTAAAAGGATTGGGGGTGAGGGGAGAGAGAGACAACATAAAGAAGGAAAATATACAAATTTGGTGATTTCAGAAAAGTCATCTCAGGCACAGGGCACCCCGCAACTTTTATATTCCTTAAGGAGAGCTAACCCAGACATCCATCCTGTGATGGGAATGACCCTTTTTGCTAAAAGTTGGTATTATTACTACCTTTTTCCCCTGCTTTTGTTGTTTCTTCTTCAATGCACAGAACGACACAAAGTAAAAAATAATTACAAGTGAAAGTTTATAAATATGAAGTATATAAGACTTTGTACATAGACATTCATGCAGGCACTGAATACTGGATAGTATGTTAATAATAATGAGGATGTTGATGGAAAAATAGGCTCGGTTTGTATTTGAGTTCAATTTCTGTAAATAAAAATAAAAGAAACATAAATATCACAATATTTGCACATTATTAACATTTTTCTCAGTGCCTGAAGACAGCCTAAGTCATGGAAACAACTGAAGTATCTCATTAATTAACTGGCTCTAATCTGGTGGGGTTTGTACACTGGGGGTTCACATTCCATTACTGAACTTTTCCAAATTCCTGTATATGCAGAAACCAGGAGGTCAGCAGAATTGCTTAAGGAAATCTTATTAAAATCAAAAGTACTTGGGAAAAAAAGATGGTAACTATATCTTGAATATGTCATTACAAGATAAAGAATTCAAAAAAATAAATAAACTAGGATCTAATTTGGAAAAGCTCTAGAAATGGGTGGCATAAGGTCAGAGGCTCCTCACCCAGCACAACAATTGGTGTCATTTTAACCTTTACTGGCAAGGGTGAGAGACAGGTTCCAAGCAATCAAAGAACTATTTTTTTTTTAAGTTTATCTGTCAGCCTACAGTGGAAGTCATGGCAAAGAAAGGTGACAAAAGAAAACAGCTACTAGAATTCATTTGCTCCAGCTATGCAAGGGCAAACCTAAGGGATGGATGCTGAAGCATAAGAACAAAAATCACCAGTTTTATGCAAACATATGGGATTTTAAGGAGACAAATCAGCAAAAGGGTGGATAAAAAAAAAGTGGGGGGGGGGGCAGGAAGAAAGAAAAGTCTTCTGTGTGGAAGACAAGGCTATGTGGAGGACTCTGGGGCAAAGCCCCATAAAGTTTTAGATTATGAGATCACTAGAGAATCACAGATCCACTCAAATGTCAGTAACCCGTTGGAGTCTGGAGACAAAACTCCAGACCTTGAGATATTTAACCTT